GGACTTCACAATACGAATGTGGGGGAAGGCCACAGTTCAACCCAGAACACTCCCCATTCCCCAATTCCGGATTTTTTGAGAAAGAATAGTGTTCTGCTGGTTGTTGAACAGGCTGCTGAGGCAGAGAAGAGCTGAGAGAGAGTGAGCCCCGGAGTCTGGATAGACCCAAAGCCAGGTCGATCTTGGACCCTTCCATTCCCACAGATGTGAGCTAATAAATTTCCTTTTTTGTTTTATCAGTGTAGGATGATCAGAACCTTAATGTCCTGATGCTTGTTGAGTGAGTTAATATTGAGGGCCTCTTTCTCCAGAGTGCCCATAGCTCCACGACATGTGGTGTGGGACCACAAGGTAGCTATTTATGTGGCAGAGTTAAGATTCAATTGCAGGCCTCTCAGGCTCCGAGGTGCTGGTTTTGACCCATCCCTAGGGATACTCTCAGTCACAGCTGATCACAGCACAGTGAAAGCTGGGGCTGGGCTGGAATGTCCCACAGAGCAGGCTTTAGGGCCCACCTGGGCCAGCACCCTTCCTGCAGCATTCTGCAATCACTGCCTCAAGGTTGACCTCTCTACATGGACTGAGGGCTCCTGTCCTTCTGGCCACCACCCCTGGCCTGCAGCAGTGGCTGGCTCATGGCAGGCAGGTTTCAGAACAAAGCCAGAGCACAGGCTCCGCCTGGGGCCTGCCTCCCATCACAGGAGGGATGCAGCACTGTCTGTGAACACAGGATAGGAAACAACCCAAATGTCCTTCAAGGGGACAGGCCAAGGACATTTCAGGACATCCCAACAGCCTAGGAAGATTTCATCATTGAACCCAAACAAGGCAGCACCTGCTCTCCATGACACAGATCATCTCAAAGAGAAACTGCAAATTGAAAAAGAGCAGAGCACGGGAAACAACACACGATGATGGCAACTGTGTAAGAAAGGAGGAGGGACTACTCACTGATGTTGTGTACACAGACACCGCTGCAATCGGCTGTCCAATGCCATGGCCACTAGCCATGATTTAAACTAAAATTAGTTAAAATCAAGTTTAACAATTCAGTCCCTCATGTGTGGCTAGAGAGGCTACAGTCATGGGCGGCACAACAGAACAAATGTCTCTGTCACCTCAGAAAGTTCTATTGGGTAGCACTGCTCTCTAGGACCGTACAGAGAAGTAAAGGGCCCCTGGCAAGGGGAGCAGGAGAAATGGGGGAGGGGAATTATTTAGATTTAAAAATCTAAACACATTTTTAAACATTTAAGTACACAAAGTAAAGTCACAGAAGAGGGTCTTGGACCATAGAGTGACACTGGCAAGCCTCAGGCGGTGTCTCCAGTGGGGGAGTTATCTGCTGGGGGAGGAGTAGGTATCTTTTTTTGAGCAGGTGGATGAGAAAGAGCAGTGACAGGACAGGGCTCCCAGGTCTCACCCAGTTAGCACTGCATCTGAGTTAATGCCCGAGTGTCTGAGTCCAGCTGCCCCACATCTCATTCCTCTCAGCCTTGTAAGATCCTCCAGGTAACTATCACTCCTATTCGTTCTCAGTTCCCAGAGCTACTGCAGTAATAAATCACCACAAACTATTATAGGTGGCTTAAACTGACGGTAGTTTATTCCCTCAGAGTTCTAAAGCCCGAAAGTCAAAGGCATTGGCAGGGCAGGGCCCCTCCCAGAGGCTCTGAGGGAGAGTCCCTTCCATACCTCTCTCTGCTTTTTGGCGGCTGCCAGGGACTAAAGTGTTCCCTGGATTGTAGATGCATCACACCAACCTCTAGTCTGTGTGTGTCTCTGCATCTCAAATTTCTCCCTCTTGTCTCTCACAAGAACAACAGTCATTCAATTTAGAATCCACCCTAAGTCTTGGATGACCTACTCTATTTTGAGATCCTTAGCTTATTACACCTGCCTAGACCCAATTTCCATTTTTTTTTTTTTTTGAGACGGAGCCTCAAGCTATCCCCCTGAGTAGAGTGCCATGGCATCACGCTCACAGCAACCTCCAACTCCTGGGTTCAAGCGAGTCTCCTGCCTCCGCCTCCCAAGTAGCTGGGACTACAGGTGCCCGCCACAACGCCTGGCCATTTTTTGGTTGCAGCCATCATTGTTGTTTGGTGGGCCCGGGCTGGGGATTCGAACCCGCCACCTTAGGTGTATGTGGCTGGCGCCTTAGCCGCTTGAGCCACAGGTGCTGAGCCCCCAGACCCAATTTCCAAAGGTCACATCCACAAATATTGGGAGTTAGGACTTGGACATATCTTTTTTTTGAGACAGAGTCTCACTTGGTCGCCCTGGGCAGAGTGCCATGGTATCATCATAACTCACAGCAACCTCAGACTCTTGGATTCAAGTGATCCTCTTACTTCAACCTTCCAAGTAGCTGGGACTACAGGCACCTACCACAACGCCCGGCTAGTTTTTCTATTTTTAGTAGAGACAAACGGTCTCTTGCTCTTACTCAGGCTGGTCTCAAACTTCTGAGTTTAAGCAATCTACTCACCTCAGCCTCCCAGAATGCTAGGATTACAGTGGGAGCCACTGCACCCTGCTAGACATATATTTTTGAAGGATATAATTCAACCCACTGCACCATTTTATAGATAAGGGTACAAGGCTCAGGGGCCCCCATTTGCCCAAGGTGACAGAGCCAGCTCCTGCCACAGACTCTCATTAACTCAGGCAAGAGAGACGTACCATGTGCCACAAAGAAGCCTGGCACCACAAAACCTGCCACTGCAAAGCAAAGGCCCCACCGCTGTAGCTCAGCCTCACAATGGGTGACATAGCCAGAAGAACTACACCTTCTCTGGCTTTGCTTATCTGACTGCTGCAGGATAGGATCTGACAGAAGATTACAGTCTCCTGGGCCCAAACCAGGCCCTGGGGCTCTGTGGCTATCTCAAATCAGGTGGGGATCCAAGCTCCAGAGCATGGTCTGTATCTCCAAACTCCAAGTCTGCGGGACAAATTGGAGCCAAAGAGTTTAGGCTTCTGGGGCTGGAGACAAAGGCCCCTGTGCTTTTTTTATGATAAAGGTACAGGTGCCAGCCCCTGGGGTTTTGTGCTGGTGAGGGTTCTGCTCTAAAGGGCTGTGTGAGTGCTCAGATTTGAGGTGACAGGAGAGAAAGCCCAGGCATGGACATAGTGCAGAGAGGCCTGGCTGAGGCCAGCATGCTGCATCCCTAAGGTCTGTACTGACCATACTAGTGGGGACAGCAGCTGTGCGCTGATGGCAGCAGGGCTGCCCAGGGAGCAGGAGAGGTCACCTTGTCCTCCTCTCAGTGGGGCTGGAGATTTGAAGCAGCCCTTCAGCTTTCATGGTCTTTCTGAGACCCTCTTGGAATCTCTCTCTTCAAAACCTCTGCTGCCCTCCTCCTGAGGGAAGGCGGGACATGAAACTGCCTCTGGGTCATTGGCTTTAACCCCAACTTTCTCCATGACCTCAGAGAGGCCCCCAGAGAGCCCACTCCAAGGCTGTTAGCATGTACTGATAAAGACCCTTGTGGCTGGAAAGGGGCACACCCAAGATGTGGCCCAGCTCTGTGCCAGCTCCCAGCCCCCTTTTCCCTCTCTCCATCTATTATGTGGATTTAGGACTCTCGACCTTTCTGTCAGCAACCCACCCCAAGAAACCCAATTCACATTGTCGTCCACGTCAAACCCACAAGTACAAATAGCATGTCAGCAATTCTTATTCCAGTCTATGCTAGTTCACAATGTCAAAATGCTGGGTACAAGCTGCTAAACTGATTTTATCTCTTCTGAATGCGCTGTAACTCCCAGTTTAAAAAATACTGACCCACATAATTTACATGCGTATACCTCCAAACAACACCAACGAAGAAGGAAGGGAAAAAAGAAGGGTTGTTCCCATTTGATGCATTTTCAAATCATCCAAAAATCCATTCATAGATCTAAATTTTTTCCTCCCATTTAATTGCAATTTCTGACTTCCTGATCTACAAATGGAGTGATTACTTGTCATATCCTTTTTTCCTCTTATTAAAACCTCAGTGGCCCTAAAAAGCCTGGTTTGAGCTCAATCCTAGAATCCTCTCCCCCTGTGATCTCAGCAACAGAATGCTCATACCATGTCATCCATCTGTGCTGAAATGTCAGGGTGGGATCTTCATGATCAGTGAGTTTGGTTTCTGGACCAGCTGCAGACAACTTTCTATCAGCTACCTGACAACTTGACCAATGGAAGGGGAGGTGGTGAGGACACTGTTTGGCTCCTGTGTTCTCTGACCCAATAACAAAAGTCACCTTTCCTTGTATGTTGTGCAGTCTGAGCTATCTTATGATTTTCCACTTACTTACTGGTATTGGACACTGGCCTGTGAGAGGGTCATTCTAACCCCAGAAGTATAGGGTTAGAGACCACACACCAAAATTCTTGATTGTGGTCTATACAAAGCTCCCTGAAAATAACCAGAAGTTCTGCTATGAATCTGGATTTGAGCCACATGGATTAGGAGTCAACAAATCCTGGTTTATTCATAGCTATCCTGATCTATACCAGCAAAAGCCAAGAGAAACATAATAATTTGAATAATTCAGACCAAGTTTTCTGTTCCCTTCTTCTGTCTCCACCAAAAGAAATGAAAACAAAAAGCTTACATTCACCAGATTATTTATCTGCCTTCCACATGTCTGCCTCAGAGCTCTACTGCAATGCTAACGTTGTGGGCATGAGGCTCCAACAGGTACCCTGTGAGACGGCCATTCCTTTCCTCCCACTCCAGCCTTATTCCAAGTCCTCTCCAATGGGGTCTTAGTTCCACCACCAACCAAACCAAGTTGGTTCATTTTGCCGGACACTCTGATGAGAGAGACTGCTAAGGACAATGTAGAAAGAAAGGCCCCAGGACAGTCCACGAGGTATAAGAGCCCGAAACCCCAGCCGACCCTCTGGACTGTTCATGTTCTTGGTAATTTTGATCAAACAGCAGAAAGAAGGGACAGGTCTAAGAAGTCAGGAGCCAGCAAGTCATGAAACCTTCCCTTACCTGGGGGGCAGACACATTCGGATGGTGCTTCCCGAACAGTCCGGAGCTTGACCAGTCCATCCAACTTCTGTGCCAAGAAGAAAAGGAAAGAAAAATAAGAATGAGTTTCAGGGCAGAGAGGGGTAAAGTGGAAAAATCAACAAGAACAGATGTATCTGAAAGATCTAGCATGATGGTCGTGTTTTCAAGAACATTTCATAAAAGATCATTAAATTCTACAGGCAATTTTAGAATAAGAGGAAAAACAAAAACATCAAACAGTTACTGGTGAGTCCTTGAAAAGAAGGCGGCAGGTCTTAGCTTTGTTACAACATTTTTGGATATAACACCAAGAGTTAAAAACAATAGGAACCAGCATCCTGCAAATTAAGAAAAGCCAAAGTGACCATCAGTTTATGAGCAGAAAGCCGGCACAGAGGAAGGCCTGGGCAGGGAAAATCAAAACTGGTCCTTGAGGCAGCTTTCTGTACTCACTAGACCTCCCCAACTGTCCTCCGTGGTGGCCCCTTCCAGCCCTCAGCCTCAGACCCACAAGTCTTATCCAGTCTGATGACATTTTCCTTTCTTTCTTTTTTCCATTTTCCTTTCTTCCTACCAGTGGGGATCCTTGGCCTAGAAAATTTGGTTCAGTATAATTTAATAAGAATCTCTACACATGCCCAGCTCTATGCTAGATTTGGGTGAAAGGAAAAAAATTACCACAGAAATAGAGTCAAAAGTGACAGTTACACTGCAGTGGTAACTCACAAGGACAACTTTGGCAGGCTCCTGGCCTGATTTGACCCTAGGGGCAACATCTGAGGCCAGAATTAATCCTCCTGCCTCACAGATAAGGGGAAGTAAGATTGAAAAAAAGAAGTTTGTCCCACACCCAAAATCTAAGTTTAGAGGAATAAAATGATTGGCTCCTAATCCCCAAACATGCCAGGACTTGAGTCCTGGCAAAGATATACAAAGCATTAACCTTTCTCTGTGGGGCGGGGGTGGGGGGGACCCCTAAAAGCCCTGTGGGAATGTGCTAACCTGAGAGAACAGTGCAGGATCCCAGTCAGGATCGGGGCTTCAGGCTCAAACAAAGAACAGTCATTTGTAAGCACTGTCTGGCGGGGGCAGGGGGGGCAAGGCTGCCCACCCCTGGTCTGAGCCCTTTACCACCAGGGCTGGGATTTTCACGATACAGAGGCCCCCATTCTCCATCTCCACAGGGTACCTCCTGCCACCTGCAATGCACCACCAGCTCTATGTCTACCTCCAGCCCCAGCCTCATCTCACATGGACAGTTGTGAGAGTTAGGGGCTGCACTGGTCCTGAACACAGGCGATATGAAGATGTCATTACCATGGTGGAAATAATACCACACCAGCCAGAGGGTGCTCCAGGGTAGCACCTTTAGGTGCACTAACATCTTTATCCTTGCCGTACCTCCCAGTCCTGGCCCCCCAAGACCCTGAGTGTACCCTAGAAATCAAGAGTGTACCCCAGAAACCAAGAGGCCCCAGGTGGGCCTCAGGATGCTGTCAGCTCCCTGCCAGGACTGCTGCCTGCCACAAGCTCTAGCTCTGGCCCAGTGACCCTGTAAGATGGCCTGAGCCAGCCCCCAGCCTCCAGAGAGCCCCTGCAGCTGTCATGGGCTTCCACAGATACCATCACCCTGCTCTTCCCAGGCCCAGGCCACCCAGAGCTTGAGGGGGGCTGAGTCAGTCCCCCCTCCCCTGCCACACCCCTCTGAGGTGAATGAGAAGCCAGCCCTTGCAGAAGCTTCAGCCACCCTCAGAACTCACACTTCCCCACTCCATCTACAGATACTAAAACATTTCAAAATGCACTGAGATAAAGAGTCTAGCCTCCTAGTTTAAGGCAATTTGTTCAAGAAGCTCTCATCTGTTTCTATCAGTGCTAGACAGAGTACAAAGGACTACCACACCAAGTTTACCTCTTTAACAAAAGCATTTAACAACTGCTATCACATCTGGGCCTCTCTCCTAAAGGGGAGGGGAGCTTTATCAAATACTGATAGGAAACACAAGACTTTCAAGCTACTCTTATTTTAAAGTGGAAAGTTGGGTAAGAAACTATTGATGAGAGAAAAAAAAAAAATGTCCTGTTTAAGGCTAGCAGCTGGGATGGTAGGTTACTGGGATTGAGTTTTTGTTTTGTCATTTATCCTAACTCCTCCTGAGCATTTGTTTTTCTAGATTGGAAGGCAAGTCTGCAATGTTTTATCTCCAGGCCCCTAACTTTCTGTGGGTTTGAAGCGTCCCTACTATGAGCACAAAGTGAAATGTTTGACTTAAAACCCAATCCCACAATCTTGACTTCAGGCTTTTATTTATTTATTTATTTTTTCAGTACTAAGAAAATAACTCTTCTGTGTCCAGGTTTGTAAAAATGATTTAAAAGTCTCAACATTTTACATTTAATTATCTGACAGCACCTCCACCATCTGCAAACAATATAGTCTTAGTTTTACATATGCAAACAAGTCCTGACTCTGAAAGTAAATAAAGGAAGGGTTTCTGAAAAGACCAGAGACTCTGGGGGCATTCCCTTCCAGAAGTTACTGAGTAGCAGAACTTGAAGTTTAAGGGGAGGAGGCCAAGAGCTCAGGGAAAACGCATGAGGGAAAAGCATGGTTTTCAAAACAGCAGCACATGGTCAGATGATAAATTTATTAATGAGCTGTTGGAGCACTAGTCTAGAACAATTCACCAGATGTTTGATCACATACTCAAATGGTTTTGCTCTGGTAAAATATAGATTGATGTCCAAAAAAGGGACACAAGAATTTATCTCTGAAAAAGGCTACAAATAAGCCATAAGACAAATTTCTATTTTCACTGAAAATTCCTATGCCAGGGAATGTATCCCATGGACATAAATCAGGAGAAACAAAAAACTATTCATGAAGGAGCTGCATGGCAAAGCAGTGGGGATGGTCAGGTGAAGGATGGGGAAGACCCTTGATAACTGTCAGATGTCAGGGAACAGCAGGATGAAGGCGGCAGCAACAGGACTAATGTTTATGGTACTCTAAAAGAAAATGTCCTCATCTACACAAAAATTCAGGCACAGGGGAGGGTTTGCTACCAAACAGAACCCAGTGACTATTGGGATTATGGTGATTTACTTCTTAAAAGTTCTCTCTGTGTTGTTGTAATACCATTTTCCCAGTAAAAATAAAAAAACATGGAAGTAGATGAGACAAGGTGAACTCTTTGCCAAGGGTGATTTCTGAACAACAGATAGATGGTTCTGTCTCCTTAGAAAGACCCTATTCCAGGCTCAATCCTGTTAATCCACACCCATCACAAACACCAGGCAAAGGCTTGCCAAGGGTCAAACCGATCAGCCCTGGCTCCTTCCATCCCCATGACAAGGGCCCCTGTGTGCATTCCTAGTGCTGCCTCACCTAGTCCTCCCAACAACTCCTTGAGGCTGGAACTATTACACACTGGTATATAGACATACAACTGAGATTTAGAGAGGGAAGTGTCAGGGTTGGACTTAGCAACTGATTCCAAATATGAAGGAAGGCAAGCTCTGCTTATGAACAATTATTATGTCCACAAAAAAATTTTTTAAGTTGCTATCAAAATCCAGGTCATGCAAAACTATAAGGACAGAGCTTAGTACAGAGAGGAATTAAGGAGCAGAGTGTGCGCAGGAGATTGAGGGCCTCAGAATTGTTCATATGGCTCTGGGGTGGTGGACATGACTATGCATTTGTCAAAGTCGTCACAAAGAGTGAACTTTAATGGATGTAAGTTAAAATAAACAAAAGTCAATCAGCATGCTGGAGAATCCTAGGCTAGACTGCAGGCTATGACAAATGAATCTAACTATATTTAGTTTGTGTGAATAACCTCACTGGAGACTGTGGGGTAAATGTAGTTGAGCTAAGTTACTTTGCAAAGTAGTATTCTGATTGAAAACCATATGGCTGGAGACAAAAGGGACCTGCCATGAATACTGTACTCTAGTAGTCCAAGCTGTTACTCACAGAGGTAGAGGTTAGCAACTTTGAAGCTACTTTACATATTAGGGTTGAACAAACGGGTAAATGAACTATAAGTAATGAGAGCAAGGTTCCTCATTGCTCAAGAAAGAGGTTATAAGTGAGCAAAGAACGAAAGCAAGTATGAATCCCATTATGCTGGGTCAGAATCAGAGGCATCACTATGAGGTCATGTTTGTTCTGTGTATAGATAGACACTGTATGGATCACGAGGAGAGTTCCCCTTGGCCCTCTAACGGCTTGCTGAAAAATCAACTCAAAAAAGGAAGATTAATTGGCATACAAGTTTATTTAATGTGCATACACAGGAGGCTTCAGAATAAAGACCCAAAGATACAGGGAAAATTGTCCACATTTTTGTGCTTGTATTCAACAAAATAGGAACAACCAGGTAGAAATATGATTAAGTACAAAGGTATGATCTAATGTTAGACCAAGTAGGGAAACTTAGCAAGGCCTGTCTGTCTAGATTCTTCTTGCCCTCTCTGAGCAAGAATTCTTTCTTTCTGGATACAGGGCAGGACCATCTCTGGAATGCAGGTCTGAAGACCTGTAGTCTTGCTCTGTCACCCAGGCTAGAGTGCTCACAGCAACTTCAAACTCCTGGGCTCAAGTGTTCCTGCTGCCTCAGCCTCCTGAGTAGTTGAGACTACAGGTACGTGTCACTATGCCTGACTAATTTTGAAGCTACTTTTACACATTAGGATTACAAATAAGTAAATGAACTGTAAATAATGAGAGCCAGATTTCTCACTGTCCAAGAAAGGAGAATAGGGTCTCAGGGTGGTACCTGTGGCTCAAAAGACTAGGGGTGCAGGCCCCATATACCAGAAGTGGCAGGTTTAAACCTGGCCCTGGGCAAAAAATGCAAAAAAAAAAAAAATAGGGTCTCACTCTTGCTCAGACTGGTCTCAAATTCCTGATCTCAAGTAATCCTCCTGACTCCCAAAGTGCTAGGGTTACAGGCATGGGCTACCCTGCCCAGCCAAGGTAATTTCTTTATGGCTAATTTTTACATAGACATGAAGAGAGAAAGTCAGAGTAATATTTTT